TATTGTGAGCAATAAAAGATGTTTTGCAAAGTTGTGCAAAGAAAGTGACTACTAATTGCAACGAAACACACAATATATTTATTTTTAAAATTAAATTAAATTTGAATTTTAAGAACGAATTTTAGCCTCTTCCTGTTTGATGGCCAATATTGTTTTTTAAAAAAAAGTTTTATATATATAAAATGTATGACTAAGAAGTTAGAAAAAAATTTAAGGTTACGTGTAAAATATTTTATTGTATAAATGTGTGGTTAAAAATGAGTATGAAAATTAAAGAGTTTTGTTTTAAAGGGAGATAAATAAAGACTTAATTAAATCCAAATTTATAATGATTAACAGAAGACCTTTTTAGAGTATAGTAGTCAAAGTTCGACTATATTAAAGTTCAGTGGCCAAAATTCGATCATCTCAAAATTTATTGAGCAATAGAAGACATTTTCAAAGTTTAGTAGCCAAAATTCGACTATGTTAAAGTTTAACGGTGTGACGGGGAGTCACATGTGCATTTTATAGGCTACGCTATCAATTTCGTTAAAAATTTGAGAATAAAGTTATGCCAATGAGTAATATACAACGTTTTCTCAAGTTCAGTGATCAAAAGTCGATATTTTAAAATATAAATTTAGTGACTATTGGAGCAATTAACTCTTGAATCTTACAGCTAAAACTACACAAAATTCACAAATTATGATTTTGGAATGTCAGTAGGTCATCGAGAAGAAATTTGGGGTAAAAGTTGAATGGGGCGTCCCTCTAACTAGTGGTGGAGGAAGATGAGGAGAGGGAAGAAGGTGAAAGAAAGATAATTTATTTTTTAATTTTTTATTATATATTTGAGATTCGTTTGCACTTTGAAAAAAAATGGCAGTATGATTGCGATTCGTTCTTTGATTTTTCTTTTTTGTTTTGTTTTGTTTAAATAAGATAGTATATAGTCATTGCACAACTTTGTATTCAAAAATTGGATTGAAATTGATAAAAATGATGATTTTCACAATGAAATGTATAAATAGGGATGAAAATATAAAAAAATAAAATAAAAATATACTACTTGTATATAATGATGTGTCCATGTTGTCTTTTTCTTGTAAGGATGTGTTATTCCATTCAATCAACGACAACTAATATTTTCATGGAAAAAAGAAAACACCTTGCATTGTAAGTTACCAATTCTTGGGTTTCGACGATGATGTGCATCTTTGTATTTTAAACTATTTTATAAGCACAAATAAATAAATAAACATTCAAACATGTTGCTTAACAAAAATAAGACTTATTTTAAGACAAAAGGAGGTCAAAGCAATAGTCCCATGCTACTTATTATCTTGCTGTTTTAGCTGACCTACACATTTACCATATTACCCTTAATTTTTTACAAATTTACGTACTCATCTTGGAATTTGAATAAAAGAACTTGGTCTATAAAGGGCATTTCAGAAAACTATCAAATTGCTTTTGCTTATATTATGTATAATTGAGTTCCCAAACATGTTGCCTTAACAAAAAATAGTATTTATTTTATTTATAAGACAGTATCATTTTTAAGCACACTCAAACAAGCCCGATAATCATTTTTACATTTTTCAACTATTGTGAGTACCGCAGAGCATATTCATAAACTTATTGGGGAGTATGTCACATATTTATGGCCAATGTTTTAAGAATCGATAACTAAGTTTACATTTTCAACTAATATGATTACCTTAAAGTGTATTCATAAATTGATTGGGGAATATGCCACACATTTATGGCCAATATTACAAGAATCGAATTGAATGAATTTAGGACCCCTTCGCTAGGAAGGCTTTTCTTCTACTTATAGAAGAGTTTCATAATAAAGTTACCTTAATTGATATTTAAAAACTAATTTCTAAAGAAACTTTATCTTTCGAAAGAGTTTTTAAATGAAGAATAACTAAATCAACTTTTTTTCTAAAAACTCTATCAAATAAAAGAAACTCTTTTATAAAACTAATCGAAATAGTCCAAACGCAATTTTTGAATCTCAAAATCATTTTCACTTCTCGAAAGTCATGCTAAAATGGGCCCTTATATGATTGGAAAAAATTGAAAAGTCTATTTGGAATCAACTTACCCGTCAACCATGAACCATCAAATTAATTATGTGAACTATAACTGATAAAAAAAAATTATGTGAACTGCAAATCGACTTCACCCTTTTTTCAAAACCATAATGTACTCAACTTTGTATTAAAATTATACATGAACTTCTTAGCAAAAACCGTAAAAAGGCACCTCCATTTATGTGCGCATAGAGATGGTAATCAAATTCGTCGGCTCAGGTCGCCCGTGGCTCGACTCGAGAAAAGTGTGAGCCGAGGGAGCCAAGCTCCATTTTCAGGTTCCGAGCAAAGCCCGAGTCAACCCATGTGGCTCGCCGGCTTAGGGTCATGAGCCTATATTAGTATAAAATTAAATAAATTTAGAAGGCAACAACACGCCGTCTAAAATAGGCAGCAGAGGCCGCTTGTTTTAAGGCAGCCTCTGTTGGCTTCATTTAAAAAAAAAATAAATAAATAAAAATCGAGCCGGCTCGAAAAGGCCATAGCCGAAAGCTCGGGTCGAGCCTAATTTTTTTGGCCGAGCAATAGCTCGGCTCGGCTCGAGCACGAAAAAGCTCCCTCATTTTACTCGAGTCGAACCCGAGCCTTGAGTTTTAGCTCGAGAACGGGCTCGACTCGTTGATATCTCTATGTGCGGATATGAATTTCATGAATAATTTTGATTCAAAAGTTGATTTCACGTAAGATTTTAAAATAGAGGTAAAGTTCAAGTATTACTTACGTAATTAGCCTGCCAATGAGTTTGCCACGTCATTGGTAAGTAAGCGTGCTTCGTTTGTCACGTGAAATATTCAGTTAATTTTGACTCACAAAAGTTAATTTATAGACAGAAAATAAATTTGTGAGTTCATGTATGATTTTAATACAAATATGAGTTCATAGATAATTTTGAAATAGAGATAAAGTTCGTGTTCACATTTGTATAATTAACCCTCGTTTGAAAAACATATTAGAAAAGAAAAAAAAAGTCCAATTTACCAGTCCAATTTTCCAAAGAGAAGATTTTTCTAAAAAAAAAAAAATCTACTTTTTTGACCTTGGTTCTACTGAAATTTGACCCTTTGTTCATTAAACTTCTATACTTTCTAGGTCAATGTTTTGGTCAATTTTTGAAACGTAATTAGTGACATATTTGATAGGAAAAATTACATAATGTTGAACAACACTTAGGCCAAGAAAAATTAAAATATTATAAATTTTATTGAATAATTTAATCCAATATAATATACATGAAAGTATTCAAAGGAATAAAAATAAAAAAATGAGTCCCTAAAAATAGAACAACATTAAGTCAAAAGCTTTTCATATATTGTTAACACATTGCTGCAAACATCAAAGTAGGCTTTGATGTCATGATTATTTATTTACCAAACATGCACAATAAAATTAAAATAATTTCAATATACAAAAGCCATATAATTTTGTGTTTAGGTTGAATCTGAGTATTAGGTCAAGCAACTAAAAATGGACTTCCTATTTATACTAAAGTGTGCGTCTTCGCGATATTTTAGAGCTTCTTAGGGAGCTCAACAATGATCATTTTTTTGAGAGGGGAAAGGGGTAGCCCTTGGCATCTCGTGCTCTAGAGCATAATGTATTTTGTTTTGGACGCATTGTTTGATACAATTTGTTGCTCCCGCTTTGGTGCTGGTACATGATATTAACTAGTGATAATATGATTGTTTTCAAAGAAAAAAACTCAATTCTATCTTTAGATTCAAATCACAAAGTAAGAACTTATTCTTAAGTAATCTGTCAAAGTAGATCTAATAAATTTTATTCTACTTGTGTTGGCCACTCGATTATAAATCGGATGGGAATTTCAATTATTATTATTATTTTTTTTATTTATTTTTTTGGTCCAATTCGTCGTATTTCATAGAGTATGTCTCGTGAATTCTAACATTAACAACAATAAATTATTCCCTAGTTTGACTATGAGAAATAAGTATAAATACTCATTCAAAGATGAAATTTCTGAATTTATTGCTTCCTTTTCCATAGAACGTTTTCTATAATTGAATTTGATTTTTTCGACAAAGGGGGAAATCTAAAAGAAAATCACTTTTCTCGAATTTGACCTTTATTTTTCTTTTTTGATATAATTTCTATGTATAAAAACTTAATACAGCTTGTGATAGAATTTAATAATTGATAATTTTTCATTTATTATTGCTATTATTTATTTATGGTATCAAAAGAGCCACGAGAACGTGACATACTAATAATAATAATAATAATAATAATAATAATAATAATAATAATAATAATGAACGTCAAGCCAAAAGTTATACGACAATCTAAGACACCCCAAAAACAATAACTTGTGCATAAATTGCACGTGTCAAGATAAAAGGCAATCTAAAATTAAATTAAAATCGGCCATTAAGTCCATTCACCACAATATGATTTACACTTTTTAAGAATTAGGAGGTGGGCACGACTGATCTCAACTACGATAACTTATGCTAAAAAGAACGGTTTAAAATATGAAAGAAAACATTCTAACTCGTTCCAACTACAATAACTCGTGCAAGAAAATTTCCTTTTAAAAATGTGTTGAATTAGAAGTGACATGAAATCACTATGTAATTAGAATAACCTTAAAAGTAGGGTTGATGAAGGAAAATTTAATATGAAGCATGTCAACCCAAAATAGAGATGTATCTTAGTGTTTGATAGGTATTTTTACATAAAAATGTATTTCAAAATAGTAAATTGATGTGAAATATATGGTTGAAAAATAAAGAAATTTTTTTAAATTTTCGTGTAACATTATTTCAATAAAAAATGTGTAGTTGAAAAAAAGATAAAGAAAAACACATTTTGAAGAAAATTGCTACCAACAAGACCTAAAATTGATCTATAGAATCTGAAAGGGGCTATAGTCCTACTAGGTTTGGTACTTGGGGGAAGAAAGTAAGGAAGATATAGGAATAGGTCGCGCCTCCTCCCAACCTGCCCCGCTCTCTCTCTCTCTCTCTCTACCAAACAGTGCACACACTCCTCTTTCGCTCTCTGATTGTGCCAAAAATCAGCAATTTTCTCTTTCTTTCACTACTCCTTTTCTCCATTTTTTTTCTTTGTTCTTAAACAATATAAACACACGCGCTTACATATCACTCCCTATCTGCGTGTGTGGGGCTGAATCCTTTGCGTATATTTCATCGATGATTCAATTCTCGGGTAATGTGAAATGGTTTAGTGTTTGATTACTTGGAATTAGATTTTTTTCGTTGTCTGTCTTTCTCCTATTCCCATCTGATTTAGGTTTCCTTTTGACATAACGTAATAGCGTATTGATTTTGCCTTGGGATGTACAATTATTGTTTTGCTTTTTTTCCCCGTGTAGTACACCATTCTATCCTGATCTTGCTTCAATCAAAGGTCTGTCCTTTTATTTTTCTTATTTTTTCAGCTTCTTCTTCTTCTTTTGGGTGCATATACACACATATTTGTACGAATTTAGCATACGGGTTGCTGTAAATTTTGTAATTTTCTGAGCTTTTTAGTGTCCTTTTTCAAAAAATAATTGAGGGTTTCTTGTGGATAAACAATGGCCTTAAATCAAGAAGAAAAATTGTTTTCTGAAGAAAAGCTTGATGATGAGTGTTCAATTGATGAATTTCTGGATGGAAAAGATAAAAATCTGGAACAATCTGTTGAATCTAATTCCGAAAAGGTGTGTGAAGATATTGGTGATATTTTGCCTAATGATCCCTTTGGTATGGGGGTTACTATAGGTTTACCTACTGATCCATTTGGCATGGATTTCAATATTGGTGCCACTGTCACTGCAATAACGGGTTGGATTGAGGATATTGAGAAGGATTTTGGGAGAAAGAGTTCTGGGTTTGAGAGGGGTGAGGCTTCTGAGGATAAAAAGACCAATAACAAATTATTTTCCGAGCTGAATTTTATTTTGAACAGCTCTGTGAAGTTTGAATCAGAAGTCGGAGATGAAAAGGGAATCGATCAAAACTCAGTTGATTCAGTTATGGATTCTGATAATGATTTGGATCATGATTTATATGAACACCACCTGTCGGGTGGTAATATAGAGGAGTTAATATGTTTTGGATGTGAAAAATTGATTGATGAGAAGAAAGCACACGAACTTGTCACAAACTATAATGATGGCAATGAAGGTGCTCCACCTGATGCTTTGTTCTTTGCACTTGGTTATCTTGGTGTGAGGGACCTATTTTCTGTTGAAAGAGTTTGCAAATCTTTGCGGTATGCTGTTCAGAATGATCCCCTTTTGTGGAGAGATATTCAAATAGATTACCCATTGAATGTTAATATCACTGATGATGCTCTTGTGGAGTTAACAGACAGGGCTCAAGGTGGTCTTCGCAGCCTCAACCTTGTTGACTGCTTCAAGATCAAGGATTCTGGTCTGAAAAGGGTGCTCGAAAAAAATCCGAGGTTGACCAAGGTTTGTAACCATAAATGGAATCTTTGTTACCGTATCTGCTGTCACAATGCTTCATTTATTTATTTTCATTACATTTTTTTTTCTTTTTTTGTACCCTCTGTGTTTTTCAATGTGAGTATTGTACATCTATAACTCTATAACTAGCTACTTAACTGGATGATCTATTTGCTGTTGTGAACTATATTTTAATTGAATAGGAATTATGAAATTTTGTGTTGCATCTTGTAGATTGTTTGTACCTTGACAACATGTTTTGTATCCAATATAAGACAAGGTTGGATGGGAGTATAGCATAAAAAAGAAGTTAAAATCTTTTCTGTTGTATTTGCTGGAACTCAAGCTTCATTTATTTATTTATTATTATTATTTTTTTTTTGCCACAATACTTCTATGTTCTTGTGCATCTTATAATTGTATATTTTCCTTTGTATTGTACATCTTAAACTCGCTGCCTAACTGGTTGATCAATTTCCTATGCTGAATGGTATTTTAATTATGTCGGGATGATGGAGCTTTAAATTGTATCTTGTACCTTGTTTAAGAAATACACTATTTGTTTGATAGTTTCTTTTATTGATAGGAGGAAAGAAAGCACACAACAATAAAGGATTAAAAAAAAAAAAAAA